TAATTATTATTTATGGAGTTTCCCAGACCCCATTCACCTGATGATTCGTAATTTATTTATTTGTAATTAATTTTTTAACAGCATTTTTTTTCTAATTACATTAAAACACTTGCAAAATTCTTTAATATGTTCTGTTTTTTAAGTTCAATTTTTAGACATAATCTTATGGCAAAAGAATTGTTTATCTTTTTCCATTTTATTAATTTGGTTCAGAGGTTTAAATAAATGGGTGACTAAGGCTTTATTTCTGCCCCCTGTATGGAGAGCCTAATCATAATTCTTTTTGTTCTTCCTGTTGATTACCAACAAGAAAAAAAAATTCACTTAATAATTTAAAGATATCCTTTCTCTTTATATATATATATATATATATATATATATATATATATATATATATATATATATATATATATATATATATATATATATATATATATATATATATATATATATATATATATATATATATATATATATATATATATATATATATATATATATATACAGTGTGTTACAGAGGAAAAAAATTCATACAGCGTTTTTGCGAAATTGGGAATTTAGATGCGGCTAAAAAAAAAAAAAAGGTCCTTACATTCTGCAATTAAATTTTAATCAAAATAAATTTTCTATTTTTGCTGGGAGTTACATATACAACATATTATTTTTCTACTTTATATATGTTTAATTTTCATTAATCAACTTGTTTCATTATGAGCAATCTTCTAAAGTTTTCATTTAAATCGCTTCTTTTCTTTGTTTTTGATATACTGCAGCCATTTTTCAAAATGCCTAAATTACGTAATTCAAGAATAGCGCAATTAAAAAAAATTAAAAAAAAAAAAAGAAAAATCTGAACTTAAGAATAAGTGACGTCAATAAAAATTTAAAAGAAAAGTTTTTTTTAAACTTTTGAATGAATGTTAAGGTTAATGACGCTTGTTAATGACAACACGTTTTTACACATAAAAAAAAATCGATCAATTTAATTCATTTTTTCGTCATGCATACTAGTCAAGCGCGACACTTTAAATCTGAGATTGACTTAATTTTTTTTTTTTTTTTACTATGATCTTATAAACCTTTGGGAATTTTAAACCAATTGGTAATACCGCGTTATACACGGTGCCATCAGGCTGGGTAACACCCTGATATGTATATATATATATATATATATATATATATATATATATATATATATATATATATATATATATATATATATATATATATATATATATATATATATATATATATATACAGATAGATATTATGATGCTTTAAAAATCACTACTCAGTGTTGTTAATGTGGTGTGGTTATTTTTTGTATTAATCTATTTTTAGATTCTAATTCAGAAAAGATTTATATAAAATTTCTCTTTATTTGAGTAATAAGTTGACTTTTTAATAAAACATTTTAGGGACCATTTAAACAATATTAGTGATCTGTTGAATAGAAAATGAGCTTAAGTATGAACTAAATATTGAACAATTAAACTTAAATTAGACTTGAAACTTCAAATTGTGTATCTGGGATTATTAAATCATTTCTTTCTAACTTCTTTATTATAATCATCGTCAAGGCCTACTTTTTTATTTCCAGTAACTTCTGGGGTATCTCAAGGTTCTATTCTTGGTCCTGTTTTGTTTCTTATCTACATTATTGATCTTCCTGACAACCCTACGTCTATAGTAACTCTTTTTGCTGATGACTCAAGTTTTTACTCCTGTCTTGACAAAAAGTCTTCTCTTTTTGATCACTTAGAACAGGCAGCCAATTTTGTATCTGTTGATACAAGTTTGGCTGCCTGTTCTAAGCGATCAAAAAGAGAAGACTTCTAAAATATGGGACCTGTTCACAGATTGGGGCTCACATATTTTTGCTTATAAATTTTATTTCCAACAAAACTCAGTTATTTACTGCAAACAACTACCACAATACTGTCAACATTCCAATAGCAACTAATGGTAACCCTCTTACTGAGTCCTCTTTTTTACATCTTCTTGGAATATTATATGCTACTAACCTTTCATGTAAACAAAATATACGATTGCTAAATTAGCATCCCTTTATCATTATTGTTGTTTTCTTACCCTTGGATCCATTCTCTACCTCTACAAATATCTTTTTGTCCTTGTATGGAATGTTGTTGTCATATTTGGGCTGGTTCTTCTTATAATGCCCTTTTTCTTCTAAACAAGCTCTATCTGCTAAGTCTGAGCTTCTTTCCCATTGTCGTAAAGTTGCATCTCTTTCTCTTTTCTACAAATTCTATCATGGTGGCTGCTCAAAAGATTTATTATCTCTAGTTCCATTAACAAAAACTCATTCTCGAAAATTAATTCAGTAAATTTCAGTATTTATTGTTCTATTTAAATCAGAAATTAAAATATGAATTAAGATATTGCCATTAAAGTTAAGTTTAGTAACTTAAACAATGAATTTTTGAATATTTCCCCAAAAAAACAAAAAAAATGGACCCCTATGTTTTTTTTTTCCAAAAAAACCAAAAAAAACAAAAACCAAAAAAGCGTGCCACATTTCTAATCACTCACAAGACAACGGTCAATGTAAACAAATGAATGGAACAATACTTAGAGCTGTTAGTCTGGCCATGAAAACATTGAGTCTGGGAATAGATAGATAGGAGGTAGCATTGCAAATGGCTCTATTTTCTATAAGATGACCTCTGTGTACTGCTACTAACAAAACACCCCACCAGAGGATGATGAACTTTCAACTTTCATCAATAATAGGTATGATTCTACCAAACTTCCTAACAGAGCAGGATTCAATAATTTTATACAGACGTCAGATACGATTAAAAAGAGATTCACTTGTCGACAGTGTTCAACTATTAGAAACACTATTGCCTCACTTTGCATGTGTCAAACTTCAAAATGGAAAAATTGATATGGTTTCAACAAAAGATCTCGCCCCACTACAAGATGGAAATCCCTTAATAGAACCAGTCCAACAACAGTTCGAATGCTTGAACAATGACAAAATTGTCATTAATAACAACAACCACAATTCTAGAAATAGAAAATAAGATGAATTAAATGACACCAACAAAGTAGCTTGGAACCTACAGTGTCCGTTTGGGAATCCATTAAAGATAGCTTCTCTTATGACCAATCAACTATAACAATACCTAACCAACCATCTAAACAAAAGGTTACTACTCATGACACACAACCTAATATATCCTTAGAAGCAGGACATACTATTAAAATGCCAAAGTACCTCAACAACTACTTTCCTTCATAGAGTATTATCCAAGAGTAAGCCATTACACCTCAGCAGAGAAGACTGTTATATTCTTAAGAACTATCTATTTGAACTAAATAATTCATGTGTATCACGTCATTATAATAATACGGTAAATGAACTTAAGTTATTCTAATTATATTTAATTGATTTGCTATAAAATCGGTTTTGTAGATCTTGAATTGTGTTTGACTTAATATTTGATAAAAGCCGAAAATATTTAATATAGACTTATTTATTACAGTTTCACAACAATAATTTACAAGCCATTAGTTTTTAACAAAATTGCCTATGCTACTTTTTAGCTTGTTTTTCTGGTTTTATTTCTAAAGTGTTTTAGTTTCATTGAGTCACTCTACTTAAAATCTTGACCTGTCTATATTCCTTTTTGCATGTGCATGCAAAACATTCAAATCCAACTTGTTGTTAAGCTGCTGCATACAATTGATCAGACTGTGAATTTGCAAATTTTTACTACAATATTTAAGGTTAGCTGCAGGCAAGTAGACTTAACAGCTAATGTCATACAAACTATGCTAGATATTATTGGTGTTAACTTAGAAAGCAATGGCAGAGATAGTGTAGTTACTGATAATGGTGCCAGCAAAGGTGTTGCTAATAAAATGGTGTTTCAAATTTGTTAGAAATCTGCAATGTTGAGTGATTAATTTTATTGAGGTTGAGTAGAAATCTTATTTTTAAACCAGTAACTGGGTTAAAAAAGTTCCCATTACTTGAATTTGTCTGAAAAAATTTTTTAAACTAATAAATTTTTAACTAAACTTTATCTCTGCATGAGGCTGTTGAAGTAATTTGCGATAAACTCATTTTAGCATTGCAATAAACACAAACATCTAGTGGCTGCAAAATGACAAATGAGTTGATAGTGTGTCAACAATATCTAAAAAATGAGCTGATAAACAATGTTTTCAATACAAATAAGTATGCTCTGATAGATAACACGTGTCTTTAACTAAAATATGTGTGCTTACAACGAATAATTATAATCATAATAATAGACTCATAAGTCTGTTTAGACAATTATATTAATTAGGGTATTTCATTCCACCCTGTAGTTAGCCATTTCTGTTTTTAACTTACAACTATTCATGGGAAATAGCAAGTTTAATTTAAACAAATATTCTTGAGTGGCTTATACAAATTATACAAGGTTACATTTTACATTTTCTGATAGCAAGTTACACTTCTGAGAATTTTTTCAAAAAAAGAAACAAATATAATATTATGCACTCAAAAAGTTAAAGAATTTACGATACAATAGAAAAATGTTTACAATAAGTTTATTCAATAATTGATTAAAAGTAAAAGAATAAACACTTTTTTATAATATCTTTTATTTAACTTTTTTATAATATCTTTTATTTACTTCTGCATCATAATTATTTTATATTACTTGATTGCATAAAATAATGGTTAAAAAAATTTTTAAAAACATTAATTTTCATTGCTTTTTTACTTTTAAAACATAGTAATTTTTACTGCTTAAATTCAGAAGTGTACTTATTTCAATTATTCCAATTCTAAAAAAAAAAAAAACAGTTTATTTACTCATAGCAGTTTTTAAAAATTATTTTTACTGGTTTAGGGCAAAACAAAAAGTTGTTCTTTTTTATGTTAATTTACAAAAACATCTGCATTACATTTTTATGTTTACTTTCATTGTTTACATATATATTTATCACTCATTGTATTTTTAATGTGTTCTCTCTAGGTTTATGAGAAAACAGATTTTCTTCATGGAGATTTACAGGAGCATGCTGTTCATATGAAATTATTATGTTGTGGAAATGAAAATAATTTATTTAGTGAACTAAATAATCAGTCTTTTAATCACAAGAGAGGATTTACTACTCCTAATAATGCTACTTCATCCCTTAGCAATAATTTATTTGATAATGTAGCAGGAATTAAAAAGGTTAGACCGCTTCCGAAGCCTGTTACAGGTACTGAAATGCTTAATGCTTCTTACACAAATGTTTTTCAAATTAGTCCAAGTAAAGAAAGCAGTTCACTTTCCAAAGAGCAATTGTCACAAAATAGTTTTGTTTTGCAAAGAAGTTTGTCATCTTCGTTAAATCACTCGTGGAATGACATTTTCAAGTTAGAAAAACTAGAAGAAAAATCTTTAGCCGAAAAAAAAAGCAATGAGTCAATTAAGCTTTCATCAAGTCTTACCCAGTCTTCAGGATTTTTTAATTCTCTTAACATTAACAATGACGACAAGTCCAAAAAAAGTTTTAACTCTCTTGATTTGCCTGCAAAAAACTCTTCAGAGACTGAGGAAGTATATCATGTTGAAATTTTAACTGTAGTTAAAAGTAGTAATCTATTTAATATTTTAAGAGAAACATGGATTCAATCACTTCTAGTGAGTATTTTTTTTTTTAACCAATACTATTATTTTTATTATTGTTGTTGTTATCATTTTATTTTAATGAATGTATCAAGAATTTTTTATAACATTATTCTGAAATATTAACTTTCTTCCTTTCAAGCTTTCTTTATCTCACAGACTTTCTTAATCTCAATCTTTTTTTATCTCTTTTTAACTCACAACCTTTCTTTTTTACTCACAATCTTCCTTTATCTCAATATCTTTTTATCTCAAATCCTTGCTCCCAACCCACAACTTCAAAAGGAGAGCAAGTTTTTTTTTTTTATAAACAAAATAAATTTACTTCCATAAATGCTGCCAGCAACTACCATCAGTATTTAGGACTATAAAATAAAGAAGAGATCAAATAAGCAAAAAATTGGTTGACAGAAGACCTGAAAATTGTAAATTGTATGAACTTAAAGTTGGTAGAGAATTCTTGAGCATTTTTTGTATAAGAAATAAAAACTACACAATTAAAAGTTTTTTTAACAAGAAGAAACAGTGACAATAAATAGATCTCATCATTCAACAACTTTGCTAAATGATGAATTGCTCAAAATTCTATTTTAAGTGGCAAAACAAGAGACAGTAGCTTGCTTCAGCAGCAAACCCGGTAGTATTGTATTATGACGATGGGACTGATGCTCAAACTTAGCAGTTTGAATAGGTCTAACTACTTTTTAGTCGTGCTATCTTTATCATAATTCTTTATTTTTATCCTAATTCTTTGATATTTAAAGAGTATTAAAGAGGTTTTTCTCACTGGTTCCATTTAATGCTTGATAGAACCTTTTTGTTATAATGGCTAACAACTAAGCAGTTTAACAAGAAATTGAAATTCTTATTGATTGTCACAGAGCAAGTTGTTAGACATAAGAAGGGTCAGTGCTATCTCTAGAAGCATCAGTGCAATCTCCAGAAGCATCAGTGCAATCTCCAAATTTTATAAAAATTTGAATTACAAAACCTGTTTTATCAGGTATGTAAACAAAATTCAATTATACACCTAATAACTTTAGGGTTACAGGCTTTCACAGGAAGGCGTACGATCGCACGTCTTCATATGAACAAGAAAATTATATTTTGCTATGACGATTTGACTGCAGCTAATTTAAAAAATATTATAAAGGCGCGCTAAATCAAAAATATTCTGAAAAAGTGAAATTAATTACATCAAAAGTTCTTAACAAATGTTTTTATATTAGCGAAACGCTTTTAAATAAAGTAACAATTTACTGATGTTTTTTTTTTTTTAATATACTTGACAGTTTTTTTTTTTTAAATTTATAATATATAAATTGTTTAAGTGCACATTACTATAATAAACGTTATTAAAAAATAAAAAATTTGTTTTTTCCTATAAGCGATGACATTCAACAACTATGAGTTCTTTAACAAAGTCTCTTTAACAAACTTTAATATAAGAATAATTAAAGTTAATACATTTAAAAAGATAAACAAAATTTCGTTGAAAAAAAGTGTTTTAAAAAGCTGTTACAATTAAAAAGGTTTGATCTTAAATGCTTTTATATTATCAAAACGCTTTTCAATGAAGTAATAAAACACTTCTAATTAGTTTTTAAAATAAGTATTAATAAACTGTTGTTTTTTTTTATTTATATAATTATGCATTTTTTATGAGAAATGTTTATCTTTTGAAGCATATTAAATAAAATAAAATAAAAACAAAGTACAAATGTTAAAATAAATATTGAAATGGTTTTTTAATGCATGAATTAAATAGACTAAGCATTTTATTTTGATGAGTTTTGTTTTAGTTGGGTTATATATATATATATATTTTTATGTTTTTGCTTTAACTAAGTATTTTTTTTATTTTCTCTTTCGTTACGATTTTTTTTCTTTTTACAATTTTTTTTTAAGATAAGTTTAGGTAAATTTTTGTAGTGCATTTTTAAAATTTGAAAATATGTCAAAAGGCATGGTCAAATCTTTAAAACATATTATTTTTTGCGTGGTCATAAAAAGAAGTGCGATCGCACGCCTTCCTGTGAAAGCTTGAGTTAGTTTAGAGAGTATTTATGTGAGTTCTGAAAAACACTTTTTTATGGCTGTGACAGGAAATTTATTGGGACCACAAGCTGTAAAAAATAATTTTAGCAACAGAAGCCAGAGTAATTTGAATGACAATCAATTAACCTATTTAAAAAAGTTTTTTGCAAATAATTTTGTCTTGAAGTTATTTGCAAATAATTTTGTCTTGATTTTTTTTTTTTTTTTCAAATATCAAAAAAGAGTAGTGAAAAAAGTAATTTTATGATTAACTATGAACAGATAAATTTTATAAAAATTAAATTTCATTAAGCGCTAGCTCGGTAAATTTTGATTGAATTTTTACACTTTTGGTCATTTTAACATTTATTAAATTTAAAAATGTATATTTATATTAAGTAAGCACTTGTGTTACCTAATAGTCATTTTTACAAGGCAATGCCATGGCTAGAACCCCCCCCCCCCAAAATAAAAAAAATTAGGCGTAAGGGCTTCAAATTCGTAAAACCCTTCTACAATTAGGTATTACTAAATTACTTCGTAATTTGAAAAAGAGCCCCTACAAATCCCCTTTTTACCATATCCCATAGGGCTTACCCAATTCTAACTATTAAGAGTATTAAAGATACAAGTTTTTAATTAAGACATCGCTTTATAGTTTTTAGCTACTCCACCTGCATTTTAACAATGGTTGCCATATCTTTTTTGCTTCTATTTCTTGACATTAAATGTCTACTTGCAAGCTGAGCACGTATATAAGATTCTTTTCTCTCGTGTGTGTAAACATGGCCTGCAGCTTCAGTTACCATTTTGACACATCTCTCAACTGACTGTGTATGAAAAGTCTAAGAAGGAACTTTCATAGGATAGTTTACAAACTCTTTGATGGAGGCAGATGTAAGAGTGCAGGTAAGTGGTGGCTCAGTTACATTCAAGTCTCATGTTATATGTCTCCTAGCTGACCAGCATTTGGATTTATTTCTAGTGTTTTTCTTACTCTGATACTACTATCTCAAACTTGAGTTACATTATCTCCTCCATATTATCTCCTTCTCGAATCTTAAGAATCTTAGTTATAGCTTCTTTTCTTTCTTCTGTATTTTTGTTGTAAAGCATGGCTTGTAAAATGGCTTCAGAATGTGCATACCACGCTGATCGCCTAATTGTTGGCATAACAATATCTAAAACATTTTTATTCTGTGTTCTAAGTAGCTCTAGTTGATACAAAATATTTCTAGGTCCCACCATCCAATTTGATTTCACTTTAATGTTAAACCAGTTAGGTATGTAAACACTAACAATAAAATTTACAATCATTTGTAACTTTTCTAGATTTTTACCAGTAAGCCCATGATTTGACACCCAAATTCTGCATTTCGATTTCCAGCACTGCTAACCTGCTAGGCAGAATTACAGTCTTTATTGCTTGGCAAATTTGTTATGCATAACTTTGGTCAGTGCTTAAATCCTTAATAATCTCCTGACTGAGATATATTAAAGGAGGACCTAAATTTATTATAGTGAAGTTTGAATTGATTTCAATTTCAGTTGCTTTGTCCAGCATTTTCCTAACTGGTCCAGACCATTTATTATAAAAAAGTGTTGCGCCATCTAAATTTTCAATTAAATGCCTTAACCCTAACTCACCAGTGTGTAGATCACAAACAATCCACACTTACCTTCTGTTTATTTTTTTTTTTACCCATTACATGACACTACCTGCCCAACCTTCATTCACACTTGTGCTATCTCCTCCAATAGCCATAAGATTTTGAATTTGATTCTTACTTTTTAACTAATCAACCAAATGGTCTGAAATAACTTCTGCTTTTTTTTATCAGTTGTCGCATCTGGAACAAAATGAAAAAGATAGTCACCCCCAGGGTCTTTTACAACAGTGTTAATGTTCCTCTTTAAATTTCCTTTTTAAAGTTCGATAAAAAAAAAGGCATGTAACTGGTTTTTTTTCTAGGTCTTCCTCAAACTGATTGTCTAATTCTTTTGCTAATTTTTTTTGAGCCCTTGTGATCTTGTTATGACCTATAATAAGATGGAAATCACTCTCACTTTATAAGTTTTGCATCTATCAAAGTAGCTGTGGCTATTTCAGCTGCTTCTCTTAAACTTGTTTGATGTCTCATGCTAGCCAGATCAATATTTTTAATTTTCATAGTACTATACATGGAAAATGTTTGATTCAGTTTAGATTTGCAGTTAGTTGGGCTATCTACTTGGATTATATTCTGCTCACAATCATCTTGAAATATTATAGAGGAGCTACTTGTGTAAACTTTTTTTTTTTTAAGATAAGTTTAGGAAAGTTTTTGTAGCGCGTTTTTAAATTTTGAAAATATGTCAAAAACCATGGTCAAATCTTTAAAACATATTATTTTTATTTATTTTATAGAGGAGCTACTTGTTTCAACAGTATCGTGATGTACATAATCCTAAAAAATATAAATAAGTTCTTTTTATTTTTAATCAGAATCTAAACATCATTAACACCTTTTTTAACACCCCACCTACTCAATTTCATATTTTTTTACAAAAATACTATATAAATTTTTAATTTGATCTGATAATTGTACCCCATTTTAATAAAGACTATAAAGAAACAAAACTTTCACAATGAAATAGATATTTTGATAGAAAATAATAGTTTTAAACTTTTTTGCCCTACATGTGACTGAAAAAGTGATACATATTCATTTTTGTTCAGACAATCAATTTTTTCAAGTTTATCATTTGTTTCATCTGGGAAAAGTAATATATATATATATATATATATATATATATATATATATATATATATATATATATATATATATATATATATATATATATATATATATATGTATATATATATATATATATATATATATATATATATATATATATATATATATATGTATATATATATATATATATATATATACATATATATATATATATATATATATATATATATATATATATATATATATATATATATATATATATATATATATATATATATATATATATATATATATATATATATATATATATATATATATATATATATATGTATATATATACATATATATATATATATACATATATATATATATATATATATATATATATATATATATATATATATATATATATATATATATATATATATATATATATATATATATATATATATATATATATATATATATATATATATGTATATATAAATGTTTGTATATATTATTTTGTAGTACAAGCTTTCTAATTATCTAGCTACCTTTTGTTTTTACCATTGCTACTTTTTGTTGTTGTTTTTTTTTCTTTCTTTTTTTTTTGATTCTTTTCTATCTGCACCACCAATATGAAAAGTTCCAAAGCTTCCTATTTTAGCTCTCTGAGAATGAATGAATTGAAGCTCTACAATTGAAATTTTCTCTTCTCTCTTACATTTGCATTTCATATGAATTTTTCCTATACATTCTGAAGCACATTTATACTCTGAACAAAGAATTAATTTACATTTACATAGTAAAATGTCCACAAGTTTGTCTAATTTTAAAGAAAATCTTGCTTTTTCAGCTTTTTTCTCACATCCATTACTAATAGTCAACAGCCGATTTCCATAAACACTCGAGTTTTTTAAAAATTGTTTTTTCATGGATTACAACTGGATATACAAAACGTGTAGTTGCTTTTAAGCATTGACCAAGTACATCTGGTACCATATCAGCTACTAGCTGATCTACAATATAATTCCTTGTATTTTTTTTCACTAATTTCTCTTAAAAGTATACCATATCGTAAAATATCTCTGGCTGTTGGAAGCTCAGATACATAAAGTTCTTTTCCATTGCCTACAAGTTTGCTCATTTTGATAAATAATGCATTTCTTGTTCTATTTGATATCTTTAATTAACTAAATATGTTTACCGGAGCTTTCCTTTTGGCCCGAATATGAAGTATAAATAGAAAGAAATGTATAGTTACGCATTTTTAGTACTTATTTTGGTAATAATTAAAATAAGTAATAATAAAATGAAAAATTACCAAGCTAGCACTGAAATAATTTCATTTTTAAAAATATCACTCCTATTAAAAAATTATAAATTATATTTTTTCACTACTCTTTTTTCTAAATTTAAAAAGTGCATTTTACCATAAAAATCAACACATCCTAGTGAGAGGTAACTAGATCAGAATTATGTATGAAAGATGAAGTTTTAGACTTGATTTGGAATGAAATTGTTAAAAAATTTTCAAAAGCCTCTAGAACCTGACTAAAATAAAACCTGAAACAAAATCAAAGATTTGATAATCTGAGACTAATAGACCAATCATTATCATATCATCAATATGATAATGGTTTTTAATGAAATTTTAAACAGATATTTATTCTTAAGAGAGTTGTTTCAGTGAAAAAGAAATTATTGTAATGAGAAATAGCTTCAAAACAAGGATAAAATCATGGGAGAGAGCGATACTTGAATTGAAATTGTAAAAAAGAAATAAAAGAGTCGGTGCCTTTCTGAATTCAATAGAATTTTTAACGGAGTGACTTCAGGGCATGACAAATTGTTTTTTTTTTTTAATGTACGGTGACGTTCGTATCTTTATTTATTGACAAATGTCTCATTTAAAAGGTATATGTCAAATAAGAGAATTTTATTTTTAAATAATTTTTATTCTAGTTATAAGCTATTAGATTTATCAAAGATGCTTATTGAATTTAATCAGTTTTTGTTTTTTTAAAACAATTTTTCACGCGTATGCAAAGTGAGCACAAATAATTGATAATTAATATGCAATGATTTAATGATGGTCAACTATTAAAGAGTATTGAATTTTTCTCAATTTAGTTTGTTAAGTTTTTTTCCTAATAAAAAAATGTATAAAATTGAAGAAATTAAAGTAAAAGAAAAATAAAAATAGAATAAAAGTTGTTTTGGCATTTCTTTTTTAAAACCTTTAAATATAATAATACCATATTAAGTATTTAATTATAAGTTAATAAAAATATCATATCATTGGCAGTGGCGTCACAAGTGGGGTACAAGCCACACTGAGTGACACCATCACAACCTGACACTGAGGAGTGACACTAAAATACAAACTGCAAATATGAAAGTATGCCTCCGACCTTTTTTTTTTAAGACCTTTTTTTTTTGAAATTCAAAACCTGTTAGTGTAAGTCTATAGAGGTGTCACTAAAGCTTCACCTTATTGGGTGACACCAACACGGCAACGCCACTGATTATTGGTGTTGTTAAACACACAATAAAAAAAACACATATATAAGCATAATATTTCTATATATTCTATTAGATTATATAAATTTAGCTAAACTTATAAAATCTTTTAAAAACTTTTAAAAGCGTTTTTAATGTGCAAACAAACCTAACTTCACTTTAAGAAAAATAAAAAAATTTAAAAAAAAAATACGCTTTTAAAGCATGGTTTCTAAACATGGTTTGTTTTAAAGTTAATTGCAAATGCATTCATTTTAAGTAAAAACCATGCTAAAACACAATTACTTTCTTCAATAGTGTACTTAGTTATTTTATTTAAAAGTAACGCTAATAAAGAAAGTAATAGTGTTTCTTGCATGCATGGTTTGCTTTAAAGTCTTTGAAAAATTTGTTGTATATATATTATACATATTATTATTATATATTGTTTTTTATTTTATTAAGTATGTGTTATTTAATAAATAAAAAACTATCAATTGTATAATTATTTTGAAAAAAAATTGCTGAAGTAATACATTTATTTTTAAAAATCTTATGCGAATGCCAACATTTTAGTAAGTAAAAATAAAGAAACATTTGTTTGTTTTTCTGCTTTTTTTTTAACAGATGTTTGCATATTTGTTGATTTGACTTACCTGGACTAAAAACATCACTCCAAGGATCGTCATTAAAAAAAGTCACAAAGGATTATATTCAGTTTTCAAGTTATTAAGAAAGATAATTGTTTTAAGTTTGTGCTAGCAGAGTCAATGGTACAAGATCTGAGGCATTTAGCATGACAACCATTAAAATTATCAATAACATTAATATATGCAGGTGGATAAAAAGGAAAGACTTTTTTTCTTTCAATTTAATCAGAAATAACATTTATATAAATTCAATTTTAGGAAGTAGGAGAACTATAAAAAACAAGGTAAATTGTTGTAAATTGCTGCTAAAATAAAAAGATACATTTTACAATAAATAGATAAATTGATACAAAGGTATATCCTAGGGTCAAGGGGTTGAATGTTTGAGTCTTTTTGAATCAAAAGATAATAGCTGAAGATGAAACAATTAAATTTCACATCACGCAAGTAGGTCTGATTAAATTTGTATAAGGTAATATTCAACCGATAAGTTACTTTAAAGAATGAAATCATTTGTACAATATCAAATCAATTTAGTGGGGCTTTAGTTTTTTTCGGGTTTAATATTTTTTAGTACTTCTGTCAATTAGTAGGGCAAGAACTTGACTCAAACAAAGATGGTGCACGAAACAATAATCTACGCAGTTGCCTCATTCCTACCAATCAAATTATCACATCAAAGAGCTCTCAAAGAACACTGTATGTGGCATTGACACTGCACACTAACAACAGTAAAAGGGACACTATATGTTCAGCATAGCACAATTAATGATTTGATATTTTACAGCTGTTGATGGAATCAACCTCTGTAAAAAACCTTACTATAAACCAGCCTCAAAACTATTTAACTGAGTTTGAGCTTATAAATGACCCTTATATAGTTTCTTTAAGGAGAATTTGTTATACAATGCATTATTTTTAGATTGTAAAATAATTCATTATTTGAAATAATATAATTTTTATTAATGTTATGTTTTTTTGCTGATTTTTAAGAAAGCTACAAAAGAAATAAACAAGTTTGAAGAAAAAAATACTTCATCAACCAAGCTTCATGCTAATAATAGCAGGTATTACAAGTTTCTATATTTTTATAAATTTATATTATATTATGTTATGTTATTTATATTCTTATATATTAAAACACAGTATGTTGTTTATGTATCTATTTAATGTATACATTCAATTCATATATATATATATATATATATATATATATATATATATATATATATATATATATATATATATATATATATATATATATATATATATATTCACAACATACATGTAAAAAATTTTATTGTACTGTATGTATTATTGTAATGTACTTGTATGTATTATTGTAATGTATGCATGCACTATTTTATGGCATTGTATTAAATGTATGTATGCACTATTTTCTGGGTAAATTTTTTTATATTTAATATTTTGTTAAATATTTATTACTTTTTAATTAAAGTTTATTGTTAAAAGATTTATCTGTTAGTATAATTTAAGGACTTAACTCAAAAAAAAATAAAGATTAATAAAAAAGATTTCTGCCCCAATCTAAAGCCTAAGTCAATGTAGCACTCTTTTCATTTTTTACCTATATGTATATATATATATATATATATATATATATATATATATATATATATATATATATATATATATATATATATATATATATATATATATACACATATATACATATATATATATATATATATATACACATATATACATATATATATATATATATATATATATATATATATATATATATATATATATATATATACACATATATACATATATATATATATATATATATATATATATATATATATATATATATATATATATTTGTGTGTGTGTGTGTGTGTATAACAAAAATAACAAAAATAAATATAAAAAACGTATTTCTATTATAAAAAAATAAATTTAAATATGCATAAATAAAAATAAAAATATAATAAAAATTAAAAAATAATTATATTTATGATAAAAATAGTTTAGAAATAGTAGAAAAAAAAAACTTAACGGGAACAAAAAAAACGCGTAAATGCCGACTAGGAGTGTATATATATATATATATATATAATATATATATATATATATATATATATATATATATACAAAAAATATGTTTTGGAGCTAAGTATGCAGAAGTACTCACCATAGTCCTTTCTATCGGTTACACAAAATATCTATGAAAGTGAACGAAGACATAACGAGACCATACTAGACGACCAAACGGTACATACTAATGCACTACACCATCACACCTGTAGACATCAACGGCCTCTAAAACCAGTATATCAAATATTTGTTCTTTATTATATACTTTTGTTCATTATCTTATTTTACCTTATCCTTGTATATTTATTCAGATTTGTGTTATGTGTGATAAGGCCGTATATTTGTGAGAAGTATAACAGCGCGAAAATTTTACACAAAAGTACGTATTAGCGTATTTTTTATAACAAATGTATTCTTGGTTGGAATATACTGAACAATTTCATTAGATAAGTTTAGACTAATCACGATTTCGTTAGGTTTTTTTGTTTCTATCTAATTTTCTCGATTTGACGTCGCTAAGTTAGTTTGTTGTGGTTTGCACTATACAGTCTTCACTAACGTTCCTTTGGTCGTTTTGTCAACAATATTGTTTTTTAACGTTACATTTTTTAGTGGTTATAAGCTATTAGTTTAAAATCGCATATATTGGCTTATCTTTTTATTTCCTCATTATTTTCTGCCTACTGATTTGATGTTCGTATATATTTTTATCTCTGGCTAATCGTTATTTAATTACTCTGAGTCTGTATTGTGTGATAGCTATTGTCTCTACTTACCAGGCAAGATTTATATTAGAACATACTATTTAGAGTTATATATTTTTTTATCATACTTTCGTTTAACTACTTTCGTACTAACCACAAAACATCCTAACTTAGTATCAATGCTTATGAGTGGTATTTACTTATTATATTTATAATACATATTTCAGCCATAAAAGAAACGGTAAGTTACTATTAATTATTAATTACTATTTTCTATTCGCTTTTTGTTATTTCTACACATTATAATTGTTTATTTACACACGCGCATACGTACATGTGTACAAGTTTGTTTCTTCTAATGTAAGGGTACCTTATATTTATATGTGTTTACATATCTATTTATGGTCACACCACGCGCATTCCTCACCACCCTCACGAGATCTCTAAGAATGTTGGAGCTGTTTTCAAAAACTGGGATAGGGATTGGTTTTTTGGCTTTTGTAGTGTAGTCCTATTATATTGCAATATTGACTAGCATGACGTAGAGTGCAGGCGGTGAGATCTGTTGCAAGGACACGCCCCTGACGAGTGGCGTTAGTGCAGGCCTCGGGCTCTCCGAAACGTCATTGGTGATCGCAGTGCATTCCTGAGGAGGGGGATCACCATTTATCCACTACTTAATTCTAATTGGTTATTATGGCACCAACATTTTTTTACCTCTTTAACCCATGTATTTTTGCGCTTAATGAGCTTTTTATTATGAATTTGTTACATTTACGACCTTTATATATTTTTTATGTTACACAGGTGATTATCAATTATCAATTTTTTATCTAGAGTTTAGAACATATATAGTACCACATTTATTAGGCATTTGTATGGTGCGATTATTTTAGTTATTAATACCATTATAAACCAGCGGATTTTTATAGACTTGTTTACTCATAGATCATTATTTCATCATTTGTTTAAAGACGACTAGAGTGTGAGTTTTTATTCCCCTTTTCCTGAGTTGCTTACTTTTACTCTTCCAACTAAATAGTCTTTGCATTAATTTATGTTTTTTTACCTATATGACATCATCTTCAATCTTCAATTTTATTTTCACATCTCCCAGGTCTACGTAACTGGACGGCTCCGTTGGTCACTTTTTGCGATCATTGTGTCGCATAAACAAAAATTTATTCTTTGTGGCTGGTGAGCCCCGACTTTTTCCAATGTACGTCACAACGACAAAACGGACATTAGGCTATCCCGCTGGATGTGGTTACGGCGCTCAATAACCTAATGACTACGCTGACACTCACGCACACGTTCAATCGGAAGCTCCACAATGCACGTCGGATCAGCGCTCGCTGACTATGTGCTCGGATCTGAAATCTCACTTCATAGCACATCATTCCACACCAGTACGGGGCAGTAGCTCTTTTGGCTAAGAGTGATGGCTTGTGGCCTACGGTGACTAATGTGTGCATTCGATCAATTGAAATCCATTCTGTAGGTCTCACGTCTGGCTCTGATGTGCTAGCCCATAAGCACAAGAAGTGAGTGTGTTTAGCTTTCTATTCACGAGATTTGAAAGTGAACGGAAACATAACGAGACCATACTAGACGACAAACGGTACGTACAAATGCACTACACTATCACACCTGTAGACATCAACGGTCTTCAAAATCAGCATATCAAATATTTGTTCTTTGTTACATATGATCTACATACAGAGTGATTAGAGTGTTAGCTTGTTCTCTCCCTGCCCTCCGAACATTTACTTCGTTCTTTACCTTCACAAAAGTCTTATCACTCATTTTATATTTTCATATTATTTTTATTTTTTATTCAATGACACCATCTTCTAACTATTTTTATTATCACATCTCTCAGGTCTACGAAACTGGACGGCTCCGTTGGTCACTTTTTGCGATCATTGTGTCGCATAAACAAAAAATTTATTCTTTGTGGCTGGTGAGCCCCGACTTTTTCCAATGTACGCCACAACGACAAAACGGACATTAGGCTATCCCGCTGGATGTGGTTACGGCGATCAATAACCTAATGACTACGCTGACACTCACGCACACGTTCAGTCGGAAGCTCTTCATAGTATCTTATCTCTTCAACAACTACTGTTTAATAAATATCCATAAACGTATCTCATAATTTTAAAATAAAGAAAATAATACAACAACGCATCAGGTAATACATCTTTGTGTATCAACATTTGACAATTCATAGATACAGTTTTGTGTTACCCTACAATATATATATATATATATATATATATATATATATATATATATATATATATATATATATATATATATATATATATATATATATATATATATAGTATATATATATAAATATGTAATATATATAAATATATAATATATACATATATATATAATATATATATATATAATATATATATATATATATATAATATATATATATATATATATATATATATATATATATATATATATATATATATATAAATTTGTAGAAAATCACAAATCAATTTTTTTCAATTTAGACTTTATTTCATCTATATAATTTCACCTAAATTTTTATTTTATTTTATAAAGGGTGGGCAAATAGTGTAATATAACTAGTAAAAAGTATTTAAAATTTTTAAAATGTTTTTTTTTCAAGCGAACAAATCTTGCATAAGTTTTCTCAACTTAAAGATGAAGTTCTTCAGAGTACACAAGATGATGAGTTATTCATATCAACAAAGGAAATGTTCTTTGCTTGTGAAAACTTTTTTTATGCGAAGATAGCTTTTTGGAAGGTTAAATTAACAATTGTTTAATATACATATAATACAACTCACTAAACTGCTTACATACTTGTCATACCAATATGTTTTCTCTCTTTATGACATAAAAATTTCCTTTTTTAAATTAAACATCCATGATTTCACCATTGCGATGTTTCGTTAGTTTTTCATTGTGTCATTTTACTATTTATATATGACATAATGGAATAGTTTGAGAAGTGACAATGTTTGACAAAACATTGTCAGAATTGTGAGAAGTGTTTGTTCAGACAGAAAAGATGGCAATATTTGTTCAAGTTATGATAATATGAAAATAAAACTTTTTTTTCCATAAAACGGAAAGACTGTCAAAAAGGAGGAGGAGGGTGTAAATGGAAAGACTGTTCAAAGGAAGAAGAAGGGCATAAATGGAAAGACTGTTAAAATAAATTTTAATATAATTTTTTAATGAGTTGATTTTAATTATTTTTTCTCCTTTTTTTTCATGCAGGCATATTTTATGAGTAAATATTAGTTTTTCTTTCTCTCCCTTTTTGTTTAAGCAGTGCAATTATTTATATTTAGTATTGTTTATTGATATTGAAAAATGTATGTTTTATAAATATAATTATAAAAATGTAAATATTTTTATTTACAGATGCAAAATTTGCTTCAATTTTATTTGGATAAAATGAAGGCTTTGCTGCATTCTAACAGTCCAAATGCAGATAATCGAATGGATGAACTTGAGTATGAAACTAATAATATATTACATAAGAAAAAAATAAGTTTTTTTTGACAAAATTTGTTCTTATACTAATCATGTTGGTTTTGTATTAAATTTTTTTTTTAAATATAAATAAAGAAAAAATTTTTCTTTATTCATTTTAAATTTTCATTTATTGAAATCAAAATTTAGGTGTATGCTTTTACAACATTGTTTTTAAAGAAGAAAAATAGAATTTTGTTGAATTATCATTATGTGAGAAATAATATTTATGATGTATCTTTCATTTAGTCTTTTAATTTTGATTGGAGATTTAATGGCAGCAGCATTTCAAGGTTCAGAGACACTCACAAGTCGCAATACATTTCTTAATGAAAGGTTGTTTTTTTTGTTACAAAGTTCAATTATATCAAACATGCACTGTTACAATTAATTCATTTTTGACAGGTTGACAATGACAACCAAACCAAACAATGCTTTGTAAAACGAAAATTGAAATTTCTTGCAGTTATAAAAACTTATAATACCTATAAGAATTATAACATCTTTTTAATTGCAAATATAAAAACATCTATATAATCAACATTAAAAGCGTAGAATGAGGGTTATAAAACAATTTGCCATTTAAAGTCTTACATTATTTGGATAATATACAACTGATATAGTACAGTGCATGTGATGAATATTATTGCCCAACGGGATATTTTGCACTTGTAATACTGAAACACGTTATCAACGAGCGCAATTATGCGCACTTGGATCAAGTCATTGAAAGCGATATTCAGAGTTGGAAATTGGTTGCCATGGGGCCATCCATAAATTACGTATGCAAGTTTCAGGAGGGGGTCGCTCAAAAGTGTACCAGTGTGTACAAGGAAAAGAGTAGACAATTTTTCGTTTGAATTTTTTTCATGTGAAGTCTGGGAAATTCGACAAAAAAGCTTTGGTTTTTTAGTTTATGCATTTGCTATCTACCAGAAAAAATATGAAACTCAGCTTTAATATTAAATAAAAACAATGAAATATCACCATTTAGTAAAAGTTGACAATATAACTTTGTTTCTTATTGACATGCTTGATTGCGGACATTCTAAACAACAGAAACATTTTAAATTTAATTTAAAATAAATAATAGTTGAAAATAAAAAATTAGGAATCTTTCTTTTTTTATAAAAGATGTGTGTAATATTAAAAACAATAAAGCAGAAGAATCTTACATTTTTACAAATTCTTAGGGATTAAAACGTTTGATTTTTCAAAATTTAATCAAATTTAACTTTTTTAATTTAGACTAGCTGGTATGACCTGTACGATACGGGTCGTGTCAAGTCTAATCCACACCCGACAATTTCTTAACTTGTTCCTTATTCTTTATACTTTAATTTATTTAGTAAACGGCAAAAAATAAATCAATTTAAAGTTCTGGTAGATAGTAAAATACAAATTTTAATTGCAATTACAATTAAAGTTCGCATTTTACCATCTACCAGATGGTAAAATGCGAACTCTTAAAAAATTTAAATCGAACTTTAATTGCACGTTAAATTATAATTAATTTAAAAGAAAAGTCTAATTTAAATAAAATATATCAAATACCAATATATTTAGTTTAAAAAATCGATGAGGAAATGTTTTTAATCATGACTGTTGTGGTCATTTAAATGTTTTGGTTTGCTAAAAAGTACAGTTTGCATTTTACTGACTACCTACAGTTCTTGATTTCTATTGTTCTTTAGAACTAATTAGTATTTTTACTTATTACATTATTACTTATTTACTTTAATATTTTCTACATAATAAAATTATCTTTAGCATTTAACACAGTTGCGTGAAACTTAGGCTATGATAATATTTTACCTCTTTCATAAGGATTTATTTAAAAAGCAAATTTGGACATTGAAAAATGGACCAAAAGAGACCTAGTTATTTTAAATAAGTTAGCTTTATCTGTTTGATATATTATATAATAGCCTTCCCAGTGGGCATGGACGTAAAAAAGATGTTTAAACGTCTTGTACGCGTCTTTTTTAGGTCCGGTGCCCACTGGGTTTCTGTAAAAAAACTCTTAAATTACTTATATAATTATAAAAAATTTATATAATTGTTGAAATATATTAACAATTATACTGTTTTAATTGCAGAATTAGCTGTGGTGACCCGTACGATACAGGTCGCAGCAACTCTATTCCACATCCAGCCATTTTCAAACTTGTTCTTAGTTAGGTCTCTATACCTTAAGTAAACAGCAAAAAATTAGTCGGTTTAAAGTTTTTGGTTAACAATTGACTTAATATACTTCAGAAACTGTACTTATTTACTTAATGTACTCCAATATTTTATACATAAAAGGATCTTAAACATAATAGAGACAGTTGGATAACAATTCTTCAGGTGTTTTTGAAAACTTAAGCTATAATCATGATTTTACCCTCAAGATTTATTTAAAAAACAAATTTGGACATTAGAAAACGGGCCTAAGAGACTTGTTATTTTAAATAAGTTAGCTTTATCTGTTTGATACTTTTTATAAAAACGTTGCTTTAAAAAACAAAACTGTTAATAAATTTATTCAATTAAGCTGTTTTTACATCCAAAGTTATTAAACATGTTGTTTGTGCTAATCGATACTTAATGCAAATGGAAACTTCGAGTACAAAATACAATTTTAAGTATAAATGGTTTCTATTCATATATATAAAAAGCAACAAAAATATAAAAAACAATGCAAAAATGATCAATATATCCATTTGAAACAATAAATAAAAAAATAAAAAAATATGGATATTTACTTAAGATAAAATATAAAAAGAAAAATAACATATTTTTCTTGAGATAAAATAAAAATATAAACTTTTAAAAAAATTACAAAAAAAATATTATATTTAACAAAAAGTAACAAAAATACTTGAAAAACAATTTAAATTGAAACATTGTTTCATTATTATTAGGCTTTAGGTAAGCCATAATCAAGTCAGCCATAAGAAAAGGAACTCGACCTAAAAATGGAACAAAATTATTTTAAACATAATACACATTAATTACAAATTAACGTGTCATGCAATCAATTAATTTTTTTGAAAACTCAAAAATGCGAATAAGTGGATAAGAAACTTACTTTTTTTTTTCCATAAATCTGACAGATCAACATGAATATGAGCTAAGCAACAACTTACTTGTAACAGAAGAAGAAGCAGCAGCTAGAGATAATTAAAATGAAATTTAAGATGCATTAAAAATTATCAATTGACATAATCACAAAGCATAAATTCGGCAGTGAAGGAAGCAAAAGATAAAGAGGAATTATAACTCCTTATGTGTTTAAAATTTTTTTGATTTACAGCATGATCAACATGGTTTCCTCTCATTAAATCAGTCAACAATGGTTTCCTGTCATTAAATCAGTCAACAATGGTAGATATAGAGAAAGAGGAGCTAATACAACTTTTCCTGAATGACAGCACAAAAAATGAGTTTCATTTAAAAATTTCTTCGCACTACAATACTGACAATTATGGTTGAATTCTCCGAGGTAATTACTCTCTGTAGCAATATTATTTCTTGCTATGCGATGCATATTATACCTATTGAGTTCTCGCCCAGCCTGATTTATTTCATTTTGATTACAATTTATTTCCGCTCGCCTGGACTCACCTCTTTCATTCCGACGGCGGTTTATCTCAGCTCGCCTGGGCTCATCTCTTTCATTCCGACAGACGTTTATCTCAGCTCGCCTAACCTGTCTACTTTCACTTTGACGAAGTCTAATAATTTCATTTCTTAAATTATCAGACATAATCATGCATCAAAGGTGTGTAAAAATGATGCTTAATATAATAAAAAGTTGAGTTTTCTTTTTTAAACTAATCTAAAATAAAGTGTAAGTAAATAATATAGAGCATAATATAATAATCTTTTATATTCTACCATATATAGCAATGTGTTAAGATAACATACTTTTATTAAAAGGTTAAACTAAAGTTATAAATAAATTGATATAATCTTTTAAATTGAGTATTGTTACATATTTAAGTTAGTTGTTATTAATTATTGACAAAATATTATTAGTATTTAATCAAAAAAACAAAAGTAAAGTAATTTAAAAAATAAATTTTTTACATTTAAGAACTCATAAATAAAGCTAATTAAAAATAATAAGGCCTGTCTGCTCAGCAAGAACTGCTTAACTATAAAGATAAAATGTAATCATTCATCATAAAAACCCTTTCATTACTTTGAAACACATTTAATGCAAGATTTGCAATAAATAAGTAAATACAAAACTAATAAAAGAAAACCTCTATAAACAATCATATATTTGCTTTAAGTGAAGAAACTTGGAAATTCTGAAACTTGTTTAGCTATTTTAATTTTTTATTAGATATCTAATATTCTAAAGAAAAAAAGTCAATAATATATATATTCTATACATATAATATATATATTCTATACATATATATAGACACTTTAATTTTATATATTTTATTGTATATATGTTATATATATATATATATATATATATATATTATATATATATATATATATATATATATATATATATATATATATATATATATATATATATATATATATATATATATATATACATGTTAAATTATTGTGCTTCATTATTCTAAAAAAAAATTAATTTTAGAAGTACTGAAATGCATTAAAAGTACCAAAAATCCATCAGTAAGTTTGTGAAAAACAAAATATGCGTATTTTTTTAAGCGATACAACAACAAAAGATTTATCTTGAACTATTGCTAATTTGCTTTATTTATGAAAAGTTTATATTTTTCAAACAGTATTTTTTATTGTCTTTATTTATTTAAAACCAGATTAGAATCTGGTTTTAAAAAAATATCTGGAATTGAACTTTTTGTTAACTGACTTTATTTTTTAGTATATAATGTAAAAAAAATGGTTAGAAATTTTATTAGAAAAACCAATCGTCTAAAATGGGATGAAAATTCTATGAAAAATGCAGTTTTAGCTGTGAGTCAAAAAGATTTCAGTATAAGAAAAGCTGCTGATACGTATGGCGTATCTAAGTCTGCTTTACATCGACATAATGCCAATAAACCAGTTGATTTAGATATGAACAGTAGCTCATCATATTTTTGCAATAATGTGGGTTTTTTCAAACAATTTTTATCAATAGAAGCTGAACAGAATCTTTTATTTTACATTAAGTCAATGGAAGAATAATGTTATTGATTATTAATAAAAGATATACGTGTCATTGTATATGAATATTGTGAAAGTAATATATATATATATATATATATATATATATAATATATATATATATATATATATATATATATATATATATATATATATATATATATATATATATATATATATATATATATATATATATATATATATATATATATATATATATATATAAAGTTAGTTTATTTCAATTTATTATTGCTCTGTATTTTAAGAACATTGAGCACCTTTTTTGTAGAATATATATATATATATATATATATATATATATATATATATATATATATATATATATATATATATATATATATATATATATACATATATATGTATTTATATATATATATATATATATATATATATATATATATATATATATATATATATATATATATATATATATATATATATATAGTATATATCTTTTAAACAAATTTACTCAAAACGTAACAGTATAAAAATTATTTAATGAAGTATAATATCTGTTCAATAAAAGTTATTTAAAATTATAAATATTAAAAAAATTATTATAGATATTAAAAAACTATATAACTTTCAACATTTCTTATAAACACATTCTTTCAACAATTTTTTTTCAACACTTTTTATTACTACACTAACTACAAACAGATTTGATTTATGTATTTCATCATAAAAGTATACCACTTAACTGGCGTGGACAGCAATCTTGCTCCTAACAAAGCCAAGTCACATTATAGCAAAGTACACCACTTGGCTAGCAAAATCAACACTCTTGCTGTAAACTAAGCCAAGTCACAACAATTTGAAAAGATATTTATAAACACATAAATGATATTTACACACTTACAAAATATAAATTCATATAACCTAAACACATAAACATAAATAACACATAAATATAAATTGATCTATATAAAAATATATAAATCAAGAAAAATATATGATTTAGAAACTTTACAAATACAACCTTATTTTTGTTTAATGAAATACCTTGTATAATAAATGTTTAACAACTTGGAAAAATAAATGATCTGGTTTTTTATATAAAAGCAAACAGATTTTTTTTTAACTTCTTTAAAGGTAAGGTATTTAGGGTTGTTCTATCTTGTTCTTTAACATGTAACTGTGTGAGATGCAAGAGTTTAGGAGATATATATATATATGTAACACTAACTTTAACATTAGTTTGACCTCTTGAAAAGAGCATCGTTTTTTAGAGTCACCATTGTCTTTTAATTTAAAAATTTAAGTTATTACTAATTATTACTTATTACTAATTAAGTTGATAAAGCAAAGTTTTTGATCTTACTACTGATTAAACAGATATTAACAGATTCAAGAGTACCTCATCGTGTGGTCAAAAAGAGAAATATCTATAAGGTTAAGCATGGTCACAAAACTCTGTGTAAAAACGCGCACCAATGGTGAGCAGCAGCAGCGGAAGCGTTAAGTTGTTAATATTTATAGATTTTCTTTTCTCATTGAGACGAAACGTTTTTAAAATAGTAAACATTCCATTCTATCTGTTAGCAGTAATGACTCCATAACTTTCCATTCTTTGTTTGTACAAAACAGAAAACTGCTTTCTAATTTAAACTGAATTTCAACTCAAAATATTCTCCCCCGCAAGTTCTTCAGACAAGCGCAATTTTTTACTCTCTTAATGAGCATAATTTGTCACGCCTGGAAGTATAAAAAAAAATTATGAAAACAATTTATCTGTTTTTGGTTACCTGTTGTGATATTGCAGTTGCTGTTGTGATGCAGCAGACCTTGTTGGTGTTGTTCAATAAAGTTATTTCTTATTGGCTTTTAGAAAACAATTATTGTTAAAAAGTACATTATTATAATTGGTTTACTTTTAGTGAACCAATGAGCAAAACTATAAACAATGTTAAAGATAATATATCAAATTGAGATATTAACAGATTGTATTTAGAAAAATGTTTTGTCTTGGCTTTTAGTGATTGATTAGAATATATTAAGCTCCATGAGTGAAACTACTTATTAACCATTTTTACTGAGAAACACCTCGAGGGTAAGGTAAACCAGGCTGTCTATCAACACAAACATCATACCAATAACGCTACAACGATAACACCATTTTGAAAACAGGGAAACAAAATATTATATAACATATATACAAACCATAACAAACACATTAAAAATATATATATGTATATATATATATATATATATATATATATATATATATATATATATATATATATATATATATATATATATATATATATATATATATGTATATATGTATATATGTATATATATAACAAACACATATAACCTTATATAACACATATGAACACATTATATAACAATTATAAACACATTATATGACAAATAAAATTATCAAAATCTATAAAAAAAACTAAAAATAATGACAAGAGTCATGCATACATTATGTGCTCCCAATTTACAATCAATAATTTTTCAAAGTAAATAAACCATTAAAAAAAAAGGTAAATTTGAAACTGATGGAGCCAGCTGAAGATTTTATTTTGCCACTTTTTAGGAACAAATACCCATTTACCACCTGATACACTTATTAAATCCTCTGCATCAATATACTATTTTGAAAAGCACAAGCTTTTATCCAAATAACCTTGCATAACCTTGGAATCTAAATTTCTAGTTAACATAACTACACAACCCATTTTCAATTTTAAATAATAAAGAGGCATACCTAGAGTTGAGGTGTTTAAAAACTCAACAGGAAAGTTATTTCTTTTTTTAAGGTTATCAGTCTCAATTTGATCAGCACTTAGTTTTTACCCTCTCTTAATAGACATTATTAATGTGTATATTGTTTATTGTTGTTTTAAGTTTTGTTCAATTTAAAATTTTATTTAATTATTAAAGAAATATATACATATATTTTTATAGTGGGCATCTTATATTCTTAAATAGACTTAAGGTCCCTAAATTTTACACTTTTGCCTAATTTTAACCACTTAGCACTTTAGATTTTAACCGCCATATTGATGTCATATGGCTCTCATGTTTAACCAGATTCAGTTGCATTATAAAATCTAGGTGAACACAACATAATCTTTTACTTTGACTATTGAAAAGATGCACTTAATATGGATACCTTTTCACAAGGTTCAAATTTTAAAATATGCTTCAACACTTTTGCAATAATAAAATTAAAAAATTGAATCTAAAAACAAATATTTAAACTAATTCATTATTGTAATATAAAGTGTTCATAAAATAAGCTTTTAAATATTCAAGTCCTAACTTTATCAGTGCTGAATCTACAGTATTAATGATTAATTAACATAACAGATAATTAATTTATGCATATAATCTTTTTAATAACTTAATGTTGATGTTTTTTTGTTAGTCTTTTTTTTTTTTTTTTAGTATTATTATTATTATTGTATTTACTCATTTACTATGGTTCGTTTTTTATTTTTTTAAGTCTTTGGTTTAAATTATAGCCCATTGTTTATCAAAAATTTGGTGAGTTGTTGCTTACTGGTGCCGACAATTTCTCCAAATATAAACTCAGATAATCATGAAGTATGTATTTTTTAATATATATATATATATATTCAAAAAAAGGTCATGTCTCCATAAAAAAAGAGCCCTAGCTTATCATCTGCCCAAACCATGATTTTGTACTAAAAAAAAAATTCTTTTTAATTTTTGAAAAACCTAAGGGGTTTTTTTTTTGAAAAACCTTTCTTCAGGGGGTAAAAGGGGCACTTTTAAAGACATTTTGTACCTCTTTTAAAACTGTTTGTAGGGAGTCTTGACGTTAAAACTTTTATTTGTTTGTTTTTTTATATTTATGTTTGTAAAGCTTATTTAATCTAAATAAAATGGGCTTTATTCTCAGAAAAAAATTTAAAATTTATAAAAGTTGTTTTAAAAAACCCTATAATTAATAAATATTTAGAAAAGCTCATAAAAATACTAAATATTCTTAAAATTTTCTTAAAACTCATAAAAGTTCATTATTATTATTTTTTTTTTTTTTGATACAGTACAATATTGATTTCTCACTTATAATCAGCTTTAGAAACTATTCTGGGAAATATATAAGACAGAGACAGGGAAAGAAGATACTAAAAAAAGAAAAAAAAACTAATTAAATTATATAAAATTTCAACTCAATAGTAAAGTTTCATTTAAATTAGAATACAGCCATCCCAGTAAATTTTTTTATTCTTTCTTGAAGAGGTGATTTTAACAAAAAAATATATAAGAAACTAGACTTTATTTGTGTTTGTACTAGCGGCTTTTTTGTAATCTGTTTTATTCTTCCCATTTCTATTTTTCTTGTAACTATTTGTAAAGAGAAAGGTGTCCTGCCTTTTTTTTTCAGAATAAGCTCTATTCATTAGGTCTTGAACTAACTAAACTGCCCTCATCAAGTCCCTTAATTGTTGCTCTAAATTCTAGATAAAAATCATTAAATTTCCAAAATTCTGGTGGAGTCTTCATTCATTGAGTTTCTGCCTTTCCATGCCTAAGCATTTCAAAAACTAGCCACAACTTTTCTGATATTAATGGAGTCAAACTAGGAGACGCATCTTTACTGAAATTGAGGCTATTCAATATAGATTGGCCAATTACCTGGCTCTCCAATGGAAAACTGTCACTTGGATATTTTTGTAAACTATACAGTTTTTTGACCATATCACCATGTTCCCTACATTCTTTATCTGCTAGGGCAAAAACTACTAAAGTGGGATCTAGATACCAAGTATGTCTGAGAATGAGCTTACAACAGCTTGAGAGCCCAGTAGGTTCCATTCCTCAAACTTTTTCACTTGCCAGTAAGCTTTCATATCCTAATAAATAATATTGATAAACGTTTTGAATTACATTAATCAGTAATGAGCTTTCTAAAAACTTATTAAAAAAATACTAAAAGACTTATACCTGTGTTGGTGAACAAAGAACTTAACTCTGCTTTTAGAAACCACTCTATATAAAAGATAAGTGATAAAGCCATACCAGTTATTTCTTCTCTATATTTGTCAGTCAGGTTTTGGATTTCATTCATTAAAAGAAACAATTTTAAGTAGTATAAACCTTTTCCCACATAATCTTGAATGGTGAACTGGTCCTGGTTAGTGAAATTTAAACCTATTTGATGAAAGAACCATCAAGTTCAAGTAAGTTCAGCTCATGATATTCTTTTCTTATATTTCTTTACTAAAAGGTTTTGGATATATTATAAATTTGTAATAAATGTTACTTTTTAAAAATAAGATTTAATAGAAAATGAATAAAAATAAAAATATTACCTTTTTGAAGATCTTTTAACTGATCACATTATGACAAAACTGAACAGCAGCTAGTTTTTGATTATATATCCATGTACCAGGTGGTATTAAAATTTTTTTTCAGTTCCCTAGTTTCAGCATCGATACCAGTTTTGTTTTAGAGTTTCAAATAGTTTGTTTTCAGAAACCAGAAGTTTCGCTGTGTAAATCATTACATGATGTCTACATGCAATCAACAACAAGGGGCGTTAAACTTGTTGAATTAATATTATGCAAGTACCTTGCCATTTTCCTGTATTTGCTGAAGTTGTATCAAAACAGAGATATTTAACCTCATCTTTTAATCCAAAAAAATTCCATCAATTCTACAATAGCTTGCTTTTGATTAACCCATGAACTAGAATGCCAAGTAGCTCTGTTTTCGCATCAATCCTTACCAAAACTGCAATTCTATCTTTTTAAAATTGCTTTCCCTTTGTTAATCCGTTAACTATTTTTCCATCAAAGTGTATAGTCATTAGTGAACCTGATGATATTACTGTATTTTTTATATATTTTTTAATTCTTTAGATATTATGTTTTCTGCAGCTCTATAAGATGTGGATTTAGAACAATTAAAGTTTGCAACAGAACCACCAGCCATGACAATAACACTTGTAGTCAATGCTGTATGTTGGTGGGTTTTATACCTTCTCCCACTGCTGTATGAGCGGTTGACTAAAGAATATTTTAGGAAGAAGAACAGAATTTTGAACATTAGGATGTGCATTAAAATCTATGCGCATTAAAGTCAATATCTGTTTCCTCATCTAATTCGTCACTAGTGAGCTAGTAGGACTATGATAATTCTTATTCTTCTATTTATTCTGCTGACAGATTTTTATTTAACTTTGATGTGCATCTTTTACTTCATACTACAGAATGCTCATATATTTTATCTCTACCTCCAAGACATTCTTTTCTTTCACTAAGCTGGTCTTTTAAGAAAGCAATATCTTTCTCTTTCTCTTTGTCTTTAACTTTTCTCATTTTATCTTTTAATATTTCTTCAAACATAGCATGAGGATGTTCTTAAATTCAAAATACTTTATTCATTTGCTCTTCAAATATTTTTTTTATTTATTTCAGCAAGATTTGTTCTGTATCTTTGATCTTTTAATTTCATCTACTCCTTCAACAGTTTCTCGATTTTAATCCTGTAAAAATAATATTTAACAGCATATTTATGTAATAAACGTAGATTATAATAATTTAGAACTTATTGAAAATATTACTTTAGCTTTTGTATTGTGAGCATTTTAACTCCACTAAGTATCCAAGAAACCATTAGTTTGAACATTATGCAGCAGTCGGACTGATCCACCGGACAATTAGGCATAAAAGAAGAACTTTTGTTTGGACAACCTACTAAGAACTTCACTTTTTCTTCACAATTTAATTTTCGTAGAAAGAGATAATATTGAGTAATTTCTTTAGCAGTTATAAATTTATTTTGCTTAACTTTTTAACTAAAAATATTTTATCTAATCTAATACTTCTGACTTTTTATTTTGGTGTCATTATATTAACTATTTAAGTATATAATCTAAAAAAAAAGTAATATAAAATATATTTCAAGAAAACGCTTTAATTACTAAAAAATTTATAACTTTATTTTAAAAAATATTAAAAAATGTAAAAATATTTTTATTTGTTAAATATTTATGGATTTTAGGGTTTTTTGAAACCAATATTTTGAGTTTTTAATTTTTTTTTGAGAGTAGAGTCCATTTTATTTAGATAACATAAGTCTTAACATAAATATATTTAAAAAAAAAATTTCAATGTCTAGACTTCCTACAAACAGTTTTAAAATTAGTACAAAACGCCCATATATAAATATATATATATATATATATATATATATATATATATATATATATATATATATATATATATTTATATTTATATATGTATATATATATGTGTGTGTGTATATATATATATATATATATATATATATATATATATATATATATATATATATATATATATATATATATTTATATATTTATATATGTATATATATACATATGTGTGTATATATATATATATATATATATATATATATATATATATATATATATATATATATATATATATATATGTATATATTTATTAGGGTTATGATTTTTTGACTTTTTAAAAATTAATTTCCTATGTCATAAATCGATGAACTTTTATTAGAAAACATGGAAAACATGTTCAATTCCTTTCTGTTGTAAAAAAAGGTCACTCAGCAATTCAAATTACGTTTTATCATTTATTTAATCTTGTTACTGCTACTACTAATATGTGTGGCTTTCCTGCAAATCATTTAAAACTAGTATATATTAAAAGTGTTTAGAACTTTAAAATGTTTTGGAAAATAACAGAATATTTTAGAAGACTTTAGAACATTCTAGAACAATTTAAAACATTCTCGAACAATTTAGAACATTCTAGAGCAATTTAAAATATTTTGGAACATTCTAGAACAATTAGAACATTCTGGAATATTCTAGAACATTTTAGACTATATATAGCTGCTCATCTAATTTTATAGCTATTACAGAAGCAACACATGGCGTCGTACAAGCCTAGCGATAGTAGCATTCAGAAGAACAAGGATGTCTGGACCAATAATCTGGTAAAATTTGAAGACTCTCATAAAAGAAGAAATGTTATGATGAATGTGTCAAGCGGGGAAGCTACGAACCCCTTGATGAAATTTTTGATATTACTAAAGTGGATGTAACATGGTTATCTTTTAAGTACAAGCAATTGTACAATCTCCAAGTGGAAAGCAAAAAAACAATTGGATACTCTACATGCCAAACGGCCAGTAAAGAAACGATCCATCCCTCTAAAAGACAAAAACTTTCTAATGAGTCATCCAACTCATCATCTTACTATCCTGGTTTTAGTGATTCTGACTCTGAGGCTGACAACAGTGAATATGAAAACAATGAAGAAGAAGATGAGACAACTCCTACACCAAGCAGAAAGCATCATAAAAGCAAAATTGCAGTCAACTTGGTAACCTCCACAAGAGTATCTGTTATGATACTTACAGTATGCTGCTAACATATGCAAGCAATTGGCTCGTGAAGACATTGAGATCCTAACTCCATGTCAATCAGCTATTTACAAGTTAACAATCAATGAGGCAATCAAGCTGAAGGAAGAAATGATTGAAAAGTTACATATGGAAAGTTACACTTTGATGGCAAGCACATCGATAGAATAGATTATCATGTGGTCATC